GGCAGGAGCCTCAGCAGCCCCTCTGTGCGCTCCTACTGTCACATGTCACACTCCCCCTCTCCCCAGTAGTTTCACTCGTTACTTTATCTCTGATTAAATTGTCATCTCTGTATCAAATAAACAAAAGAAACCTCTTTATTTAGGAAAAAAAAAGTAATTATTTAGAAATAGATGCGTAATAGCAAATATGACTTATTCCAGTGACGGGCTGTTAGTTCTGGCTAGGCTGTCCTGCTTAGACTGTTCTCGCTTCATCCAGAGGTGAAGTTCTTTTCACTTTATCATTATCACCCATGCTTTTCTTTCAGGTTTTAAAACTGAAAGCCACAAACACTTCTCTGCTTTTAATTATTCTGTAATATAGCTTCCTTAAAATAGTTCCTAGTCTCTTGAGAGCGTGACAAAATGCCAGCAGCCAAACTTCATTTACGCTGCCAGCAGAGGAACCAAAAATTCTGCTTAAGTAGGGTTTGGTTTGCATTTCCCTTCTTGTTTGTTTGTTTGTGGGGTTTTTGTTTTTGGTTTGGTTGGGTTGTATTTTTTGACTGTCCTAAAACAACACCACCATTGTGATTTATCTCTCTCGAGATAAGCTTTCTTGAACAATTTCCCCATTCCCCTCCAACTCGTTTGCTGCGGATGACTCCTCGGTTTCCCTTCCAGGGGCGTACAAAGGGCGGGCAGCCGGTGCCGCCGGGTGCGGTGCTGTCAGAGGGGCACAGGCACCAGTGCAAGGCTCCTCCCGAACACCTTGGCAACCCCAGCTGCACCCCAGCAGGTGAAGCTACTAAAGTTCCTTTTCATTTCTTCTCAGTTGACATTTTTATTGGAACTCTGAAAAACCCTCACAAGTATTTCTGCGCACATTCTGAAAGATTCTTCCCAAGCTGATCAAGCCAAAGCCCTTTTGCAAGGCTAAAATAAACCCAAACCAACCCAAACAGCCCTCTGATGACCAGGACACGCCCTCAACCTTCAAAGCAGCCAGACCTGTGACAACCTGCGAGTGCAGCAAGCGTAAATGCTCGAGATGGACGCGCTGTTGTGGGCCAGCGGGATTTCTGTAAGAGCAGACCTGAAGAAAATGTTTATAGGAATTCGGTTTCCATGTGTTTTCTTCTTTGCAATTACAGCTGTTATGACAAAGGACAGGTAACTTCTGGTAATGCAGATTGAACAAGTCTGATGACAGGGGTCTGAGGAACTGCTTTTCCAAACACATACGCCACTGGCTGCATTATCATTCCCTAAATAATCATTTACCTGCTAGCAGGGAAAGCAGGACACCGATTTCTATACGAGGGACTTGATGCAAGGTGGAAAAGTCATACAGACAAAAGAGGGTCTTCTGCATGAAGAAGGGAACCGTTACTGCTGTGACCCTGCTAACAAGTGACCTTTGAAGTTTGTGCCTCTGCAAAACAACTGACCTAAAGCCAGAAAGATAAGTTATGGCTAGATGGGCTCTGCTCAACGTCAGTTACTATTTAACTGATCTCTGCAGGTTTTGAGTTTTTTTTTAAAATGCCTAGACAGTTTTAGAACCAGTAACTCTGTTCGTTCTGGCCCTTCCTCCAGTAATGTACATAAAGAATACTTCTCCAGCAAAAAAAAATTGTATAAAATAGCGTGTTTGTGCAAAACTGACATCCAATGTTTTAATTAAGGCTCTAAGAGCTGAATCTATCCCTTCCAGCCCTGAAAAAAATGCTACCAATTCAGAAACACAATTTAGGTATCAAAATTTTATCTTAGTCCTTGAACTGCAAAACTGAAATTGCTGCAGAAGTGGTGGCTACCCCGAGAATACCCAGATGACAGTTTGGTTTCAACATCAAATTTCTTTTTGCAAATCCCCTGAAAGGCTCAATCTAATAGACACAGTTTTAAAGTGTCTGACAAACACTAAAGGCTAAAAGCTTTTCACAAATTAGTGCATTATCAAAGCAAATGGGCTGGTTTTTTAAATCATATCCCAGCGATAACAGCACTTGCCCATCGCGTAGGACACCAGTTTCAATTGTCTTTGCTGCTTCCCGAGATGCAGCCTACAGCCTCGCTCAGCGTGTCGGTGTTTCAGCCTGCTTCAGCCAACAGCTTACAGGTTACCCTGGATGAGGGACGCGCCCAACTGCTTCCTGAAACCAGGTCAGGCTGCGTGAGAGAGCGAAGGGATTTGTCGGGTGATGAGTAGAACTCAGCGTGGGTCTTCTCAGCAGGGACCAGAACGGTTTAAACAGCTGTTAAATGCTACGTATCAACAATCTTTGTGGCAAGTACCAAACCACGATCTGTAGGTCCAGCAAATTCATACCTAAGCTTATAACCCCAAAGTCACCCGGCACAGTCCTTCAGGGCTCATCATACTGGTATTGCGACCCCGCCTCCTCCTGCATTCACTCCTTTAGCCGTTAACCCCCCGCAGGGTAGCGATGCTTTGCAGAGATGCTCAGCAGTGTAGTTGGGTGCTACTGCAGTATAAATATTTACTGCTGCTGCTGACTAAACAGCTCCTCTCAACATGCAAACCTCCCGCTTGCCGATCACTGCCTGGGGGCAGCGCCTGCGAGGCAAACCAAGGGGAAGGCGGCTGAAGGGCACCAAGTGTCAGTTCAAGAGCACCTTAAGATAAAAAGATACAAGTAGGAGAAGACGGGAGTTGTTTCGCTGGAAGATGGCTACAAGTCTGAACTAAAAACTGCTGTCAAGGCTTTCAAAGCTAAAAAAAGCAGAGAAAATGTATAAAATCCCATCTTTCTCGGGTGTCAAATTATTATGAATGGATGGCTGCTCTATCTATGCCACCTTCCCACATTTTAGACTGCCGGTGGCAGCCCTCCTTGCAGATAAACAAAGAAAATTACAAAACCTCCGTATCACTCAGGATTTGACCATTTTCTACAAATCTTGAAGGGCTTTTTCGGATTTGTCCTGACCTTTGCACAATAGTAAGAACGTCAGGTCACTGACAATAGACCAGCGCAGCCTTTTTTACCCTTTCTTAAATATATTACCAGAGAGGTGCCCCCAGCATTGCTGACAGGCGCAGCAGCAGGTACATTCCGAAGCCAGCTGAAACGTGCACTGACATGGGGCAGCTCCTGATCCATTCCTAGAGAAGCCACCCCTGCAGCAGGCGTCTGTCCCCCTCCCCACCCCCAAACCTCACCACGTAAACCCGACACAGCAGCTCCTTACGGCAAAGCGACCGACTCCTCCCTAGTGCGCCCCCCGCCACCTCCTGGGTTCCCGAGACCCCTGCCAGCCACTTGTGTCAGGCATCAAAGACGACACAGGTCGAGGGAAGAGACGCTACTGGGGAATCCGCTCTACTGGAGGCAGGGACCGTCCTAGGCTCATAGATACAAGACAATAACACTCTTGGGCCCTTCTGTCTAGCCAGAGTGGATCAGCTATGAAGGGCAGCTCTCTAGTGCAGCTCTGTTCCTGAGAGCCATCAACGCAGAAGAAAGAAGCAAGGTTTTTTGTTTTTTGTCTTGTTTTTTTGGGGGGGGTTTTGGTGGGTTTTTTTTGTTTGTTTGTTTGTTTTTTTCCAGAATTTGAAAGCCTACCAAATAAGACTTAAACACTGTCAACACAGTTCAGAGATTCCTGTTTTAACAAATTACAGCACTTACATTTGTGTATCTTAACTAGACTTCATCTAAAAAGAACAGCAAACGGGGGGGATTATTGCCTTTGTTTTCCTTTTTAGTTTTAACCACCAGCTGCTTTAACTCTGACTTAGAAAATTTATTGACACTTCTCTGCAATGAAGTTTCTCCTCACGTGCATTTGAAAATTAAACTATGCCTCACAGATCAATGGTAATCAACTGACGCCATCAAGGCTGCAGCCTTTCATGGAAACGATTAAAAAATTCCTTCACTAATTATATACAGGGCCTGTAACAAATGAAGAACCTTGAGACTGAAGTCAAAATCTTCTCTACTGGGTATGGGACAAAGCAGGAGGCACTGCATCATGAACTACTTCCCAAACCGGCACACCAATTATCACTTGTCTCAACAAATTCCCTGCATCACACCCTTGGATAAAACATGGTTTTAAGGTCCTTCAGGTAACAGAGGCTCGCAATGGTGAAACACTGACAGCGCCTTCCCATGAGTCCCCACCTCCCTCTCGACAAAACCACCCAAGAGGAGAAGGCCCCATCTGGGCTTTGTCCGTTGAAAACCCCAGTAGAACCCGACGCCCTCCTGCTGCTGGAACGGAGCAGCGCCGCCCGGCCAGGACAGCGCGCTCTGCAGCATCGACTCTTGCTTCGATGCGAGGCAGTTCAGGTCTCCCATGGCCAGTTCCCGCACCACCGCTGGAAGCAAAGCCTTGGATTGTGTGTGTGTGTCTGCGCTCAGCTGTGAGCAACCTGACTGAAAGCTTCTTCCTGATGTAAGTCTCAACATTTACCCATCTTACAAGCGAAAGGCTCATTTTTGATGAATAAGAGCCTTCATTTGAACTGAAGAGGAAAACAAAGTGAAGTGTCACAGAAATGCAAATTTTCTGGGCTTATGAATCACAAAAGCTTGGTACATCTGACAAATCAAGCCACTTACTAAAAACAATGCTTACCAGTGTTGTAGGCAGTAGGCATGGCCGAATACACCAGTCCCTGCGGAGGCAAGCTTGGAGTTGTCACAGACACCACAGGGGTAGCAAGAGGCTGTGTAGACTGAGAACTACTTATCCTTTGGGTATTCTACAAATGATTAAAAATAACAACATGTCTTGTGATATCAGTTAGAACAATGGAAAATCAAGTGCTAATATAAAAATAGCATTCAATTAAAATGGGTTTCTTTGCTTTATTTTGTCGTTAGGAATACATCCTTTTTGTCAGGATAGATGGTCTAAACAAGCCAAAACATTTCAAAACAACTAAAATGATCTTGGCAAACTGAAATGAAAAATTAATTAAGATTCACTGGTCCACTTCCCATGCATGCAGATTTCAATAGTGTTAGAGTTGTAGGACATAAAAATAAATGCAATTTCTTAGTGATACAGACAACAATTCTCAGAAGTTCTTAAGTGATTCAAGAGTTCTTAGTCTTGTTTTTAAAAGGGTTTTAGTGCAGATGGTGAGGTGCAGTTCCACCAGAAAAGTCTCCCACTTCCCAGTTGTTTATCCAATTTTCAAAATTTTAGCTGCCAGTTTTGACACTGTGCTGACTACACCTGTCCTGAAAAGAACACAGAGATCTTCTAAATTTGTGTTGATAAGGCTTTGGTGATAAAATAATCTTGCTGTTCCCATGGTTCCTGAGAAACTGAGATAGTACTTGTTATAATGCAGATATGTTTCAAAGCAAATGACATTTGAGTTCACACAGAGCAACTGTGGGTTTTTATAGGAAAAACAGCTAAACTAGATTGTCTCAGCTATCTAACTGAGGCACAAGGTAGCTTTTTAACAAGTCTTTCCTTCTCATATACTGGAATGAAGAGCTGTAGCAAACATATCACTCAAATTAAGCTCTTTAACTAAATTTGCTCTTTAGAAAACCTGGTATTAAAGACTGTGGCGAATACCACCAGAGAGCAAAGCTGCTCTGTCACAGAATGTTACTACTCTTCATGGAGGCAACTTTAAACCTTTCTTCAAAATATGTGGTTCAACACCATTTAGCCAAGCCTGACACTGTCAAGAAAAAGAGATGCTAAATTTTGTATTTTTAAACAACACTTAGTTTTTACCTACAGAAGTCTTACAAATACTAGAAGGAGTAGAAGTCTCTGCATCCTGTATTTCTACATTCTCACAGAACCATTCCCGACGAAGGGAGCTGGATTTCAAACTACCGAAAATACGTTTTTAAAGCAAGCCTGCCGCTACCTCTGAAAAAATATTTGCTACAAAAGCAGAAGTTTTTCATCGCTTTGGTAAAGTTCCATTCCCTACCTTTAGAAGACCGAACATACTACTACTTTCTCCTTATTTCAGACAGGTACACAAGTATTTCAGTATCTCAGCACGTCGTGGTTTTTTTTTTCTCGACTCTGATCTTGAGAGAGCGAGCAGCATTAAAAAATCCCTTTACAACACTCTTAAGAGTCCTTTACAATATCCCCCTCACAATAACAGAACGAGCAGGTACAGAAACAAGGCTGTAGGCAATCCTAAGCCTAAACTTGCGAAGATGATTTGAGGATTATCAGTCCTTGGCTTATATCTTGACAATTTAAAGGAAAAAGTATACCACAGCTACCACATCAAAATTAGCTACAACCTTCCACCGGCTACCAGCTTCTGATCTGTGTTTTGTCTGGCTGCTGTTGAAAGTCACCTTTGAGCCTCGTAAGAATCGAGAGGCTCTTTGGCATTTGTTCAGCAGATGTACTCACGCTGCTTCAGAGCTCCCCGAGCAGCATTTCTAAGTCACAGAGAGAGTCACAGAGAGAGTCCCACTGATTTTCTGCGCGATTCAGCCCTTTAAATCACTTATGTACTTCTGAAAATCTCCGCTAGACCAAGTTTATCTGGCATAAAGATATGTTATTAGAGCAGGTTTTCTGTGTCTGTCAGGAATTGACCTTTTTCCAAAGCTTTCTTGGATGGTAGCCTATAAAGTTGGGATTACTGTATAATGGAAAAGTTAAGAGGAGTAAACTGGGAAACAATCCAGACCAAAGAATTTCCCCATGGGATTTTTTTTTTTTTTTTTGAGTGGCTAATAAAGGTGGTTTTCTGAGGTAATTTATTTCTGAACATAATTCCTAAACACTCAGCCATCCAAAGACACTAAGGAATATGTAGATGTGTCTAATATTTGTTGCCAGAGATTCATGACAAATTTCAAGAATTAAATTATTTTTTAAACTGGTGCAAGTGATAGCAGTAACAGGAAGAATTCAATATCTTTTTTTTCACGCTATGCTACCACTCTTATCTGGTTTTCATATTCAGTGCTCAGTTCCAACATACAGAACGAGCGTTCCCAGACATGATTTGGAACGGCTTTCTAGCACGGGAATTAGCAGCAGAAATTAGCATAAGAAGGGAGGTAACACTGCAGGTGTACTGCACATTCCTTTACCACGTTTGAGGAAGACACTACATTTTCTTTGTGTGAGCTTTCTTCCCCTAACACGAGCCCAGTTTTTAAAACCACTAGGTGGCCCACGCTCCACGCAGAATCCATAAACCAACCCGCCTGCAGCAAGTCGCACTATTTCAGGCTGCAAAGAGCACAGCAATTTTTAGCAGGTAGGAATACCTTCACTCACGGGATTTTGCATTAATTCCAGTTGCAACGGTATTTTGATTAAGTGTTTTTATGGTGAATTAGAGCTTTATTCCTTGCACTGGAAACCAGACTCTTCTCTATAAAGGTGAGAAGAACGTGCATGACAGCTGATTAGCTGCTCGATTAGCAAGTCATCCAATAAACCTTTAAAACTTCAATTCTGACTTTCAAAAATCACTTCCCCTTACTTTTGTAAAACTATTGCCGATGTTTAAGGTAAAAAAAAAAAAATCAACCAACAGCATGCATCCATCGAGAAATTTATCTAAACCACTACATTTTCCATGCTTTCATGCAATTAGAGCCTCATATTAGCAACAGGTCCATGTTCAAAGACAAATCAAGGTATGTAATAGGCAGGCTTCTTTGTGTCTCTTTACAACCACACTCTGATGCACCATCTTCTGCATGGTTTGTGCCACAGCAGCTAAACAATTCGCAAATTGCTCTAAAAATAAGCTACAAATTATTTTAGCCTTACGTTATTTTCCAGACAGAATGCCAAATGTTAAAACCTTTTGGAACAAAAAAAATAGAAAAAACACAAATCCCAAGAGTTTCCTTTCAAAAGCAGAATATCTTTCCACTGGAAAAAAGGTAGAATTATTCCTTTGCAATTCTCTATTCCTTTTGGTAAACAGGGAACACCCCTGTGGTTTGATAGTCTCACGCAGGATGAAATAATTCTAAACTCCAAAAAGGTGACCTCACCAGCAATGATGTAATCTCCTTGAAAATAAGAGAAGTAATACAGGGCTTGTGTTACAATCTGAAGAACTTCATGAGTGAAGCCACTTTCTAAAAATATTCCAATAATTTAGGGAACGGTAAGTGGTTGGTTGTATTTTGCATAAAAGACAGCAAATATCCTATGGACATGGACAGTTACTCTGTAAGGCTCTTTTCCAATGTTCCCTCCAAGAAAAACAGAAATAGTTTCAGTTAAAAAAAAGTTTACAAATGGAAAGCACTAGATTTCGCATGGGTTTTCAACTTGCATTGGTTGGGTTTTGAGTTTGATAAAACAAATGTATTTTTGTCTGCTACCAAGGGAACACTGGAATTATTTAAAATATGTAATGAAACTACAGTTAAAAAGCTGTAGTAAGAGACATTTGCAGCATCTTGCTCGCTCTCATCAAACAGTAGCCCAACTCACCAACTCCAATTCATCCTCCTCCGACTGTACTCAGCAAACAAGAGGGACAACACAGTTACTAAAAATAGCATTGCTTTCAAAAATGAAAGAAAAAGTCACGTTTGTGCTTCAGGATTTCTACTTACTTTAATCAATAACGTGAATTTGCCACCTGATTCCGTAAATAATACTACTAAGAAGTATAATACTTTACAAAATTTGGGTCAATTTAAAAATACTGTACCGAAAGAGCACACGCTTCGGTAACATTAGTGCAGAAAGAGCTTAGTAAAAACGATGACCCAGCCACACATTGACGACAGATGCACAGCAGTTCCTGGCTGGACTGATCCAATAAACACCCACCTCAGTAACAAATCTTTCACATACAACCACCACAATCATCCCGGACCTCTACTCTGAAATCTCTTCCCAACTTCCTCAAAAAGACAGACAAAACCTAAATCGAGTATTGTGTTGTTCTTAACAACACGACAGGTCGTACACCACTAACCTTAGAACAACTGCATTAACAAGACCCTCATCTTGTATCTGTTTCTAATTAATTTAAAAGTGTAATGCTCACTTTAATAATCAGCCAGTGTATTTCCTACATCTTCTACACTTCAGTATTCCTAGAAAAAACTAAAACTTCAAGAATCATTACTCTGAAGGTAATTACAGCTTTTGTTACTTGGATTAATTTTGTATTATTCATCATGAATACCAGTAACTAATGTAAGCACTTGTGGTCTCTTAAAAACAAGCAAGAATTGTACAGAGAGTACTCGTATTGCTTATATCCTGCTCCTCTTGGTTACAGTTCACTCTTCCATACACAGAAAATGTATACATAGATGTTTAACATTTCTACGTAACAGTGAAAAACCAAGACCAAGGGATCTGGCAACCAAATTAAAGGGAAAGGAGTAACTCTTCCTGAAAGACCTGTTCTAGCCTCACTGCTGTGGTTGCCTCATGCCTGACACGAAACCTGCGTGCTATTCCGAGTCTAGGCTGGACACACATCACTACCAACATGCCAAACTGCACAGTAGTACTGAAGAGCACACAAACAGGGACTGAGCCCGATCCTCATTACTCTTTTATGCCTTCATGGAAGACATGACATGCAGCATAGGACACACAAGGCTGCATTCCAGCACACCACATCAAACAAGTGTTTCTCTCAGACCATTATTACCACTGAAGCTACATTCTACGCCCCACAACCATTACGACCCAGGAAAAACAGGTACAAAGTGTGCTTTAGGGCATGTTAATACAGGTCACATCACCAATAAGATCAGCCATTCCTCCCCAGAGTAATGCATAACCCTTTTTAAAACCCACATCCTCCAAACCAACAGTCCTCTGTACCAAGTCAGTGCGATGTCGAATCAAAACAACAAAATCCCAAACTACGTCTCTAGGATTGCTCTCTAACCACATTTAGGTTGGACTGCTATTTTACACTTAAAATATTCCTTACAAATTTAACTTCTCCCAAGGCAACAAGTTATAACTTAGATTCTCATTAATGAAATTTCACAACACAAACACCTTTCTATTACTGTAACCTATGGTAAGCAGATGAGATAGTTTCTCCCTGTGCATGTGGGCAGAACGCTTCATTTCTACAAAGCCAGTTATAGAACAAATGTCTGAACTTACCAATGGTGGCATCATACCCTTGCTGGAGGGTGGGATGACAACACGGAGATCGGGTTTGCGATTGTTCATTCCAAGATTACCTCCTCCAGGTGGAGGTGGAGACTTTGTCGGCATGACCTTGCCTAAGCCATTCCCACCACCAGTAGTCCCGAGTAGACTTGGTGAAGCTCGAGAATTCACGAACCCGTTTCCTGAAAGAGGAAAAACAAACGTACCACAAGGCTGAAGAGAAGCCGCAATACAAAATTTTGGTTCACATGCACAAATTACAAAATATTTCTTTTGTAAAACTTCCAGTAACAAACGTCTCACAAGAGGCACAGCACTGAATAATTGAACAAACAAAACCCACTTTCGCCAGAAGATCAATATGTAAAGGTACTATCACCTCAAGGACACACTGGCAGCATAAACGCTGAGAAGAGCATATTGCCAAAGAACTATTTCTAATAACATCTGTTGTGTTTTTTCATTTTGCCCTTTGAAGTTCCTCCAGGCTGAGCTTGCAAAAAAGCATGTGCTTTTTGCACAACCCCGCTCCATCCCCACCCCCACAGAACATGAACTATATTGAATTGTTGCCTGGGAGAATAAAAAAAAAAAAAATTTAAAGAAAATCAGCTCTTCAAGTCTCTTATTTCTAAAACGTATTTTTCAAATATCTTCAAGATCTGCAGGACTCCAGTATCTATTCTCTAACAAAATTAATTTCAGTCTCCGAAATATATACTGGCTGATTATTACATTTAGCAACAAGGAGGGGAACAAATCTTTTCCCTTCAAATTCATTCCAAGCTCTGGACACAGATGTACATCTCATTTATATGCGTAGATTTATTTTATACAGGTTTTTCTCCACCTTACTACTGATACTCATTCTAAGTAGAATTAGACAAGCCAAAGCCTACAGGTCCTACCTTCAGCACTGAAATCTCCAAAAGCTGAATACACTCCAGACACAGGCCTTAGCTTACCCTCAAAACAGATCAGAAAAAAGTAACAAGACAGTAAAGCAGTGAAGTGCCTAGTATTCTATTTTCCTGTACTGACAAAAGCACCAATCATGTTAACCAAAATGTATTTCTCAAAAAAAAAAAATTTAAAGCCACATTCCAATGGTTTTATCATATTTATAGCAACAATTCCCAAAATACACACACCTTATTCAGCTGCAAACGAAAACAAAAAAGTCGTTAAGGGAGGGGAATTTCGCAACAGGGAACCCTATAGTTCACACTAGAGAACTTGTGTGTGCCTGTGTATAAGTAAATACAATTCATAGTAAGATTATGTTTATACTAACATTGCAGTTCTGAAAGCAGCCTTTATAGTCACAATTCAGGGAAAAGTCTATTACACAAAGTTCACTGTGAGGGAAATTCTGTTCTAATAGCCTGTAGCGCCATGCTGGCATGATTTTTGTATTATTATTCTAATTTGAATAGGCCCCTATGCCCAATCCAATTTTATTACATTAAGTACATATTAATCTACAAGCAATTAAAATAAGAAAGTTGTCAGTGTCACATTCTACCTTCTTTAGCAAAATTTTAAATGTCTGCAACAGCTTTGCTGTTAGTGAGTGAAGAACAATAACGCGTATCAGCAACGGCACAACACTTCATACAGGTGACTGGTACTGCTGAGATGCTCTGCTAGTGAATGTTGAGAACCCAGGCGTGAATCCACCAGGACGCCAACGAGGGAGCCTCCTCCATTACTACTGATCCTTGTTACACAGTGGGGGAACAGCCAAATGCAATCCTCACCTCTTCCCTGTCCACCATAAGTGGAACTCTATGTATCATTTTATCAATTTAGAAATGGAAAAAAACTAAGATTAATGTAATAACAACAAAGCTCTTGTGCCAATCTGAAAATACTCTACTGAGTTTCATAGAGGTCTTTTGGAAACAAAGTTATTGCTACTTATTTTTAAAGAAAAAGTTAAGTAGGAAGAACTTACTGGAATTTGCAACCACAGTACTTCTGTTCACGTATGGATGAGCAGTAAACTCATGACTTTAAAGCCAGGGCTTCGAATTCTGGATTTACTTTCTCTGTGGCTTTCCTACTGTGCCAAAAGCCTGACCATACATGGATGATCTGATAGGTCCCTTGAGTTCTTCAAGGTTAACAGAGCAAGAAGGAGTTATTCTAATTTAGTGCTTTCCTGAAGCATTTGTATGGGAGTTATGGGAATACATTTTCTGAGAATTCTACCATTTAAATGCAGAAGTTATGGGAGAAAGAAGGAACACAGACAGCAGAAAGAAGAAAAAGCTTTTTATGTCAGCATTCTTCCTTCTGTATTAAAAACTGCTGCAAAAACTCATTCTGTGATTAAAGCATCTACAGTCCTCAGCAGAAAACAGCAAAATTTATTGGGATGCTTCTAGGTAAGTGATAACATTTAGTTAAAGTGGCTGAAAAGTTGGGCTGGAGCTGAGAATACACAGTAGAGCTAAATAGACTCCTGACTGCTAGGAGAAAACTAGCCACAGCTAGGTCACACAAAGAAACCAACCAGCCAAAAAAAGAGAAATGAAGTTCTGTGCTACCCCTAAGGTTCCTGAAACTGAGAGACAGTTTTCAAATAATCAGGGTTCTGTTAAATACAGTTATGCATCGATACCTTTCCATTATAAATGAGTGTAAACATTAGTTATAGACAGCCTACATAGCATCGGATTGCAAGAGGAACCTTGCATAATGGACAGAGTAAAAATTCAGCAGATTTGGTAACAGATGTGAGGAGAAAAAATTACTAGAAAAAAGCGTGATTTTCACCAAATTCTATCTAAAAAATTGTTACAGTTATCTTCCACTTTCAGCAAAAATGCCAGAACATTTAAAGAACTTACTGCTATAAAAAAGTGAAGTGTGGACTTCAATAATAAATAGCATTTTATTACTCACTAGGCTGTCAGTGTTACCTTTCATACGCCAAAGCTGCCGTGTTCTGAGTTGAGTTTAAACTCCAGAACAATAACACTCTGTATAAACAATGGAGTTCTGTGGAGCGTTTTAGTCTACCCTGTGATACCATTTCCTGTCCTCTGTTTTCAAGTATTTCGGTAGCTCGTGTGTTAAGTCTGGACAGCATCTTTCTTCCACACCCAATACAGTCATTTCCTGCAGCCCTTAGTCCGGGCTCTGCCAGTCCTGCAGAAACATTTCATGCTTTTAGCGGTGCTCTCAAACCCAACCAACTCCTTGCCGGTGCCTTCTCTGCACGGGACCGTTCAGCAGCAGAGTCAAAGCATTTGTTCCGACAAAAAAGGCTTCTTAAAACGAGTGTTTAAGAAAAAATATATTAAGAATGGGAGAACCAAAAAATGTCTTAAGTGTGCACTACTGTGGGTATTAATCCAACAGCAGCCCTTTGTTATAAAGGGCAAGCATTGATCACTTAGCAAACATCGGAGTATCTATACTGATTATTGGAAGAATCATATGCTGGGGCTGCAATAAGACCGCAGAATATTCATTTTTAATATGAAACTTAAAGCCTTTTTTCCTGTTAATAATCTAATTAGAAAATCAAATTACAAGTTAAGAGTGAAAGGATAACTAAAAGCATGGTATTTCTTAGAGTAAGGTCAGGAGCCAGAATAAGATAATGATTACAGGATGACGCAACTGTACGGCAGTTTGCCAAACTGAGGCTTTAATAACCCCATAAATTCTACTTACTATTTTGTATAATACAGAAAGTGTATCCACCCCACCCACTATAGATCTTCCCCAGAGACAATTACTTTATGTTTAAAAACATCAAACTGCAAAATGGAAACAGAATATAAAAATCTACGTAAGCATAAAATAAGCCTACTGGTTTTACTTCCATTGGTAGAGTTTTATTTAACTCTAATTCTATAAAACACACTATGAAAGCACGTTCAAAACAATTCTTTGGAAAACAGACACCAATGCTGAGATTATAAACTCTCAATTATATGAATCATAATTTAATCAGATTTTTATGATAAGAAACACTGCCAATGTACATGAGCCTACTTCTTGTTTAGTCAGAAAATATTTACTTTTGAAGTCACTTCTTTTCTGAAAATCCACCAACTTTAACAACTGTATATTCTGCCTTCAGAAACATAATACAGCTTAATCTCATTTATTGTCCTGCAGCCCAAGACGTAGCATTCAATCACATGAGCCAGGCTCATATTTCACTATATAAATCACATCAGCTGAAACAATGAACACACGTGGCTGGAAAGTACTCCATGTACTTATTACTACTCAAGGAATAAATTATAGTCATTGATGCCGCTAACCTGTTTTTGTGGTTCACCTTTGGAGAAATTTGGAGAAACTGAACAGTTATACACAGTTTTGGAAAATAATTGTGGGCGAGCGACTAAGCAATATCAGATTAGCAAAAATAAGAACTGTAGTAAACAAATATTTATGCATCAAATGACATCATACAACCCAACAAGCGTCACATCATTAGAAGTAAACTGAAGATGGTGTTTGCCATGAACCATTCATTCACTATGCATCTAGAAGACCAGATAAAATCTACTGAAAAAAATGTTTACATGTAGGACCTTGGGGGGAGCAGGGGGGGTGAACACATTGCAAGTAAACACAACAATAGCATTTCTGTGTGCATTAGTTGCTCAAATTATTTACTTTTTAATTTTTTTAGTATGACAGCTTTAAGTGGAAATTAAAAAGAAAAACCCCAACAAAACAAAACAGCATATGCCGTTCATACCATTTTCAGCTTTGCACTGAAATCACTGCTGATTCTACCATCATTTCAAAAAGCCTAAGTTCTCTGCTAGCTTTGGAAACAATTCACTGTAACATCTCAAGGAAAACGAAATAAATGTATTTCCACTGATCTTTAAAAAGCAATACTTCAGGTAATACTAGAATTAAAATATACCTTTGACAGTAATACAAGATTTTGAAACATGCCTAACATGTAAGATTTATACTTCTAAGGCATTACTTCAGGTATTAAAATGCAGCAGAAAATACACATGACTAAGTGTCAAGGGAATGCTTACTCACATTACAAAACTAAAAAAACCCTCATTTCCCAGGTTGCTGGAAAAGATTTTTGCCTAAAGCTACATGAAAGGAGAGACAGTTTTCAAGGATATTTAGAATTTAAATGGGCTTTCTTCAAGATGAGGTTTATTATTCAGAATGCAGCAGC